TACGCTTACATCGTACCCAACAAAACTGAGCAAGACGCACAGAAAAAAGTCAAGGCAGACCTAAGCAGTTTTGTGAAGCCTTTAGAGGTAGGCTAGATTTACATTTATTTCGGGGGATTATTTGTTTGTAGTTTTCTTGTTTGAGTAGAGTCAAATTAACGCATTTTGGCACTTTAACGGCTATTTAGTACACGTAGAAGGAAAAAGCAAGACCGGGAAAGAGAGGGGGAAAATGAAGAAGGAGTGAATTTCTGGAAGTGAAGACATGAATATGAAGACATAACCCCTCTCCCTTTTTCCCCTCCTGATATCCATATCTCCTCCTCCTCATCCTCCATCCCCATTATAAATATAAAGTGTTTAGTTTGCCTTTGGGAACCAAGGTGTGGAATTTTGTGTGTCTGTTTTTCCTCAGACTAATTAAACTCACTATTTTGCTGCTGATGCTGATGGTAGTAAGATCATAATCGGTTTCTTTATCCCTTCTTTACATTGCCACTCGACATGCTAAGACCTACAAGTCCATTTACATACATAACACTTATATGTTTGATTGTTGAGAGAGTTTACCTTGACTTTATGTCTGATACCCAGATTCAAATGTCGGTGCTCAGTCATTTCGCATGACAGGCCTACGATTTTTTTCCGTATTGTTTATGTTGAAATAGCTTATTTAAGAGGCAGGACATCATATTTGATGAATTACCCTGAGCTTAAGAAAAAGATCGAAACAGGTGGGAAGAGAACTTTGAAAACACTCCAAATATGCCAGGAAACCCCGTTAGGAGATTCAAACTAGGGTTATCCACGCTACACTGATCCTACAGCCCACCTACTGTTCTATTAACTCTATTAAACTCTTGCAATAAACAAATAAAAAGTGACAAGAAAACAAGAATATTTCTTTAATGTATTCATCCTTTGTCTTTGGCAGGTTCATCTGATAGATACCTCTGGAGAAGAAGACGAGGTCATCGGTGAAATGCTGTGTCTTCGGGGCTATGCTCGGCGGCCATGAGGCTCTCCCACCTCGAAGTGAGCACACATATTCATCCAGGATGTGTGTTTTATCGTCATGGGCAAACGTCAATGGACCTTCACCTCAAGATTTTGCTCGATAGTCGTCGGGTCTAAAAATCCTGCAAGAAAAGTCACACATACCCACATGATGTGCGGAGAGAAAAGTCATTGATGAACAGACTTTAAAGTTTTGCCAGGGCTGCGCTTGGTGGTCCAGGGTCCATCCACTTGGACTGAGAGAGCACAAACACATACAGGCTGACGGCGATATTTCTGAGTACCAGATGAGTCCACAATAATGTGTATTTAATACTGAATTATTGATGATGTTTCATTCTTGCTTTGAAAAATAAAAGGAACAAACAAAATGTAACCCAACAGGAACTTGTGTTGTTGTTTTTTTCTTAATTGTTTGTTCTGTTTGCTTTGTAAAGTGTCTCAGAGGGTGTCCCACCTGCCATATTCTTCTGTTATTTCTGTCTGGTGTTGAAGTGTTTAAATCTACAGGCCAGATGGCTTTTAGCGTTGATATTTCGCATAGATCTAATCTTTACTTACTGACAACCTGCCAGCTTTCACTCCGATAGAACTTTTAGCACAGTTAAGTCATCAAAGAGGCAGAAGACTCCTTATTCTGTATTGTCTTTGCATTTTTAAAAGGACCTTACCAAGTTGGTAAAGAACTGAAAACTTACATGTACTCAGACCAAGATAACAGAGCACCGCTTAAAGTTAATCTTTGCATACAGTTCAAGCGTCTGTGAGGTAGTGCCTAGGAGGACCGGTATTAATGTTTCTCAGTAACCAAATAAGGCTGAACATTAATGAATACATCATGCACTATCGAACAGATTCAAAGCTTTTTATCCACATCTAGAGCATTCGAACCATAGCGCAGTGTAATGTGATCCTACGGAAGTCCGGTATGAGACTGAAATTAGGGGTACAAACATCGGGTTTTTTACGGCACTTGCAACACAAATAGGTCATTATATTGTAAGTGCCTAAGATCAGAGGTGTTACAATAAAGTAACAAACATAAAAATGGAGAGATGTTTCATAGGAAAGTACGAGCAAACCACACCACCAGAGACCCACCAACCATTCTCCTGGGTACAAACTTTTCCTATCTTTTCAGAAACAATTACTCTACTCATGGAATTAATGGAATCCACTTGTAGTCGACAGCACCCTTCTCCCTCATAATATACTTGTTTGTTTGTTTGTTTGTCTTTTTGTTTTTGTTTGTTTGTTTTTGTTTGTTTGTTTGTTTGTTTGTTTATTTGTTTGTTTGTTTGTTTGTTTGTTTGTTTGTTTGTTTGTTTGTTTGTTTGTTTGCTTGTTTGTTTGTGTGTTTGTTTGTTTGTTTGTTTGTTTGAGTAAAGCGATATACAGGGTGATCCAAAAAAACTTTACAACTTTTTTTCTGAATATCTCGCTCAAAATTTGTTCTAGAATGCTGTAATTTGGAAAAGACATAATTCATTCAAAAGGAATTTGTTTGATCTAAAAGACACGAGAAAGAAACATGTTTTCAAAGCAGAAACGGCTAAAAATAAAAAGGACCCAAGAACGCAAAGTTCACCAATGTTTAAAAATCTTGTAAAAAAAAGTCGTGAAAGATTAGTTGACCTTTTTGTTTATTTTTTGTTTGACATTAATTTTCAATCGCTGTGACATTTAAACGATAATTAATTTCTTTTACAGAGTTTTGCAAACCTAATGATTTCATTCTGAAATTCCTAAGAAGCAGTGCTCCACATTCCCTCCTTTGGACTCGACACATTTTTAACGCGTCGTTCGAAATGTTCAGTGGCGTCCTAACACAAGGACCTGCTGAACCATGAGTTTTTAAACCACACACACTGTACATGTTCACAAAGAAGTGGCTTCTAGAGACAATAGAGTGGGGTGCCCAATAGACAGCATTTTTCGAGTTAACATATCCCGAAGGGTGAAAATGGGCTTTATGCACTAAACCAAATGTCATCGAGGAAATGATTCCTCTTTACAAGACAATTGAGGAATCATGAACACATTGCCACACTTCTCCCTCATAATATACTTGTTTGTTTGTTTGTTTGTTTGTTTGTTTGTTTTTTGTTTGTTTGTTTGTTTGTTTGTTGTTTTTTTATTTTT